TCGGAATCCCCCAGGGGCCAGCAGCTACAACAAAAACAGCAACATCCCTGGCTCCAGCGCCAATACCAGCACCCCCACAGTGAGCAGCTACAGCCCTCCACAGGTGAGGTCATGTGTGTATGTGTGCATGCTCTAGTGTAGAGAGTGAGCGGGCCTGGGAGGGACCACTAGCACATTATTTGGCCACAAGTCTGTGCTCTTCCTTGCACCCTGTCCCCCTTTCCCTTTGCAGCTACTCAGCCGTGTCAAGCACTAGATATGGCTAGACACAAACACACATACAATGCTGGAGGTAGCAGCAAGCCTTGGCTCCCACCAGCAAGGTCATGTCATGGCCTCACTGGGTCTGTAAGAAAATAGTAATGTCGCCTCTTGTCCATCATGGGAGGCTAGGGTCCCAAGCAGCTCCAGGCCCAGTTCCAGTTCTTAGAAAGCCAGTGCTAGGACTCTGGTGTGTACCAGTTCCTGTGAAACCAGAGCAGTCTTATTTCACAGACATTTCCTGAGGACCTTTCCCATGCCAGGGAGCAGCTGCCAGGAAACTGTTTCCTAGCTGCCATCTAGCCAGAACATTTCCTAGGAGTTTGGCAAGGCCCCATATAGACCTGACTTTGTGATCTTGGACAGACAGCTTAACCCTTACTCTGGTCCTTGTGTTTCCATAAAGGACCAGAGACATGACTGGAACCCACTTATGAAGTTCCTGTGAGGTGATTATTAGCCCTGCAGCTTAATGAAGGCTCTGGGGCTCTGGGGCTAGGCAGACCTGGGTTAGGCATTTATAGTAGTGTGGCCTTGGCCCAGCAACCTCACTGAGATTGACTTTTAAGGCTTACTATGCTGGGCAGTGGTGGTGCACGCCTTTAATCCCAGCACTGGGGAGTATATAGAGAAACCTTATCTCAGAAAACCAAAAAAAAAAAAAGATTTATTATTTAAATTTATGTTATATATGGGTGTGTGTGTGTGTGCGCGCGTGCGTGCGTGCACCGTACGTTTGCAGTGCCTACAGAAGATAATGTTTGGTCCTTGAAACCTGAGTTACAAACAGTTGTGAGTCAGTGTGGGTACTGAGAACTAAACCTGGGTCCTCGACAAGAGCAGCCAATGTTCTTAACCACTGAGCCGTCTCCCTAGCCCCAGCTAATGGAAAGGATACCAGAATTGCTAATGAGACTGGATGAATTAATGATGCCCCCTGTACATGAGAAGCTCTCTTAGTGTTTTTGTTGCTGTGAAAAGATGCCCTGATCACAGCAACTCTTAGAAGGAGACATTTGATTGAAGTGGCAGCTTACCGTTTCAGAGGGTTAGCCATTATCATCATGGTGGCATGCAGGCAGCAGGAAGTCAGCTGTCACACTGGGCGGTATCAAAGCCCACCCCCACAGTGACACACTTTTTCTCCCACAAGGCCATGCCCACTCCAAGAAAGCCACACCTTCTAAATAATACCACTCCCTGTGCGGTTATGGGGAAAATTGCATTCAAACTAGCACACTCTCCATGACATGTCACGACTGCTCTTCTCATCCACTGCCACCATCTACTGAATGCCCAGCACCTTGTGCACACAAGCTTACTGAACGTTCATGATAGGCCAGAGGGCGGTAGCTGTACTGAGATGGTTTTATAAACTGAAGCGGGTTTAGAAGTGCCATGTGCCTTGCTGCCCTCAGGTCTCAGAGCTCAGGCCTAGGGTCTGCTGCTTCCCTTAGCAGACAGCTGAGCAGAGTTGCCTTTGTCAGGGAAGCTGCCTCCATGCCAGCTGTGCTGTCTGTCTCATGGAGCTTTTGTCTTTTCTCTTTTCAGCCTAGTTAC